ATTGAGGCGGAGCTCTGACGTTTGATGTCTTTGGGTTTACTTTTAGTGACACCTTACATCTTTGCCCTTCACAAAAACGAGACTCTTCTGCTGGGCCGCTCTGTCAGACAATCCGCAGGATCCTTGCTGCTTGGGAAAGGGAAGAAGGTCCGGCGTTGTGGTTTTTCACTGTGGGGATCATTGGAATTATGCCAGTTATCAAAGGAAAAGGAGCCAGCAGCGCAGCAGCGGGTTCCTTTCGTCCGAAAGGGGCCTGACAAGCGGTGTCGTGCCCTTGTTACACAAACGCACACACGCAGACCGTGGACCATGGCAAGTTACGATCCCTGCTTGCGGCATTGCAGAATGAACCGCTCAAAGTAAGGTTTGTCACACTGGCTCAGCTTGTCAGATGTTAGGGTGTTCGCTGTATGCCACATGAATTTGGCGGTCTGATACTTCTGTCTTATCATATTTAAGAGTGCGTCTCAAGATACGGGCACCCGCAACATGATCGGTTTTCTCGTGGCTTGCTTCTGCAACAGCCTTAAATAGAGAGGCAACCATATGTTCAATGGTCATTCTTATTTGCGGTTGCTAGGGATGGTCATGCAGATGCACCCGGCTGCATGCCAGTCATTGCGCCTACCAGTGGCGCAGCCGTCCATACTGAATCTTTGCAGCTCCTGACCCTCTCCGCAGCCGGACACACTTGGCGCTTCAGGCCCTTGCTCGAGCGAGCCCTTACCAGTACCCGGCTGACACTCTGCATAAGCCATACGTTGCGGCGATCGGTGACAGCTCAGAAGTCGCAGCATTGGACGTTCTTCGTCGACTCGACCCAGTCCGTATTTGACTCGCGTTGTGATCGAGTAGAGGTCAATGGGAGACATGTTTGTCTTGGCATGTGGGAGGTGTGCTATTGGGCTTTCCCCGACATGACTACAAAGGAACCCCCCACATCGGGTCACACATCCATTGTGCTTTAGGCTGAACTGAGCACGCTGAGTTCCCTTTGACAAGGGGGTGCAAACCGTTGCCCCGGCGCAGGCACAAAGAGCTGTATCCCACGGTGGCCTTTGCGAATCGCCGGAGCAAGGCGCGCGGCTTGGGTTTGGGAGGTAGGATGTCCTTGAACCTTGGTCAGAATGGCCAAGACCTCACGAACATCGACATTGGGTGCTTTTGTGTTACCTTTGAAGGACGGATTTGTTTCCGGCGACCAGGTCTTTCAAAAGCCAGCTAGATTTCAGAGTTTTAGGGCAAAGGAAACTCCCAAAAAGGGATGGATGTCAAAACCAAGAGGACACTAGCCCGTGGGGATGTGTTTTTTTTCTTCTTTTTTTCTTCCGGGATGCACACCTGATCATGGCCACAAATAATTGATTGAGCTCTTATGTGGAGGTGCACCATTTGAGGAAAACTGAGGTCTTTAGTCATCCTCAGCACCATTGTCTCTGCTTGGTGTTGTTTGTCCCGTGAGCTGCTGAGCCCAGGCTCCACAGCGCCTCTCAACTGGGCATGCGCTTGGTTTTTGGTCCCTAGTCAAACCTTGAAGGATGTGAACCTTGAAGGATGTGATTCAGTGCGATCGATTGCGTACGTTCCTGATTGGAGAGTCAGAGGCAGGTCAGACAAGGTTAGGCTGTTATGTTCTATGTCTTTATGTGTCTAAGCGCTGTTGGATGCCGTGGGTAATAGCCCAATTACATCTTTAGCTATAGCTGGGTACACCTAAGTAGGCTCCTTCTAACAACGCAGCGTTTACTGTTTCATGCGGAGCAATCTCTACAGCCCAAGTTTGCTACGGTATCTGATCAAAAGTACGTCACGTGCATTCTATACATATACTATGCATACGTATGTGTCTAATTTGTTGTTTTTAGTTCGTACGGGGTTTTCGGACCCCCCCCCATTTGAGGGTAGCCCTCAGGTGTTTAGCCAGGGCAACCTGGGTGGGAGGATAGAGGTTCAAGCCCTACAAACCTGGTGGGACAGCCTGCGTTCAACCCGCAAGCTGTAAACCAGAAGCTGAATGAAGGTCAACAAACTGGTGTGGGGTTAGAATAGCAAGGCCCCCACCCTCTTTTTGGACGCTGCCGCCCAAAGTGCGACCCTTGAAAGGGGATACCAAAGTGTGGCCTAGCTTTGAGAACCCAGGTGTGTGCTGAACTGAACTAGGGAACATGTTGGATGGTATTTCAATAGTAACAAGAGCCAAAGAAACCACCCAATCTGGAGCCTTGAGCAAGGTGCGCATCGAGCTCATTAGATGCTTGATGGCGGAGCTGCCGCGTTTGTGAGAGACTGGAATCCTGAGAATGGAAACAGGCCGAGTTCTGTGATACCAAAGGAATGCCCTTTTGGATGAGTGATAGACTGTGACAGCTTTTCTTTGAGGTTCGGTCAAACTTCCAGTAGCCTACCATTCGGGAGGAACACGTCGCACACAAGCCAGAGGACTCTCCAGTGTACCCATAGGGGGTACTAAAATTTGAAAGTCTGGGGATGGCCCAAGAGTGCATAGGAAGAAATGTGTTTCTTGCAGCCATGTTGTGGGGAACACAGGAGCCATGCTCCAGCTGGAAAAACAAGTTGGTTTACATGAGCGTTCATTACGTGGCAATTGCGGGCGAGCCGGCCTGAGTCTTCTGACTGAGCCACAGGTTGTGAAAACAAGAAGCCTGCATGAGCCAACCCGAAACCTTGCCAAGCGGCAGCAAACCGTGCAGCCTGTACCAAACTTGAATCAGCCTGAACAAGCCTGACTCAGCCCTAAACTGATCCTGCACCTACCCTGAACCAACCCAACCCCCCCCCAACCAATTTAGCACCAAACCTAAGAGAGTTCTAAGCTATGCCGCACACCCCAACCAACCAAGTCCTGAAACAGTCTCCCGGCCCGAAACTCACTCCGGGCGGAGCCGGAAGTGGCCGTGTTCTGTAAGACCATCAAAAGCAAACGATCTCCAGAGTTGCCAACCCCAAGAGTCCAACTACTCACAAAGTTCAGACTTTGTTTGGCCCATGCACCAGGAAATGAGATTACCTCCTATTGGGTTTGGAGGGTAAAAAGGGGTCCCAGTACACCCTTAGGTAATTGGACCTTGAGGTACATGGTTGGAAACTCTACTTGCAAGGGTTGGCAAAGCGGGGGCGGGGGTTGACTGGAGGCAAACTGCAGGTTAGCAAAAAAGGGGCTCAATGGTTAGAATTTGTTCCCGGGGTACCTTGGCTCATTTCGGGATTTTTCTTTGGTAACTATAGTCCCTCTACACCCAAACCCTTCAACAACAACGGGTGATACAGGAAACCCCGGGTTTTGCCCGATTCAAAAATACATCGCGGAATCTGTGGCAAACCTAGAACTACACCGATATTAAGCCCCATATTTCTGCACTGGTTTGGGAAACCTTGGGTTTGCTCCGAAAACATCGCCTTCTTCCACTGACCGGTTATTTTTGTTGGTGTGGAAAGCCTGTGCTTCTTAGAAGCGCATTTCTTCATAGATAACGGGTGGGGCTGCAAAGTGCTCAGGCGAGCCATTGAGATTGCAACACCTCACCCATAGTGCAACTGGTCCCGTAATTCCTTTTTGACTCTTGAACTGCAGTTTAACCGCTTGATTTATGAAGCAACTACTTCTTGGCCAAAGCTCCACGCCGGAAACCCACCAACAACATATATTCTGTCCATCCACACTGTGACCAGGGTCAAGGCGACTCTTCACCCGGATGGAATCACCGGGTACGGCGTCAGGCCATGCCAGCCCCTCGAGATGCCCGACTCCTGCGCACCGACTTTTCGTCTTGCTTGGCCTTGGCAACTTGGCTGAGCTTTTGATTTTCAGGCTCCCAAGTGCCAGATTTAGTGAGCGGGAAGGGGGGGGGGGGCGTAGGGCAACACGGAGAAGAGCCAAACAAACAAGGGTAAAACCCTGGGCATCACACTTAAGGTAGGGACAGTATGTACAGTATTGTATTATATAGTATACATAGAAGAGTGGCTCACTCCAGGAGTTTCAACTTTTCACTTTAGTGGCAATCAGCCAGTTTGGACTTGTGTGGGCAATCCACTAAGTGCGGCGGGGGGATAGGGATATAACATGAGCCAAACCCTGGACCCTGACCAAAGGGTTAGTTAGCCAGTGCGATTGTCAAATATTAATTGGCAATTTTGAAAAGCAGGAGATTGCCGGGACCCGAAAAAAGCATTCCGACTCCAATGAGCAAGGATGACACGACCCAAAGCGAATCTTGCGGAAACTTCGATGCGAGCCTGCAAAGCACCCAACCTCCTAGATGGTTCGGGAGTTAGCTAAGTTGTTAGTAAGTGCCTGGTAGCCCCACGTAACCCACAGCTAAACCCCAGTAAATCCTTGTAACAAGGCTTTCTAGCCATTTACCTAACTCGACCATCTAAGCTGCCCAAGGCGGGTGAGCAGGCGACAGATTGCGCAGGTGGGCGGATGTTCGAGCCAAGGAACCCCATTTTAAAGAGACAAACGAGTTGCGAGGGTGACAATGCCACTTTGGTGTCACACAAAGGATAAAATGTCCAGCATGTTCCAGGGTGGGTATGTTGAAGCTGTGAATCCATCAGAATGGTGCCCTTCATGAGTTCAAGCATTGCCTTTTGAGTCATTTTCCCGGTCGACTTGTGGGCTTCTAAGCCAGACTCCCTGACGGGCTGCGCTCTATGGAGGTGTCTTGTTTTTCCAGAGCCTTGACCTCGAGATTCTCACAAGTTGGAATACGGCGAACCTTAGTCACCGGATGCAATGTCCATGATGTTCAATGGGCATGAATTCCCCTGCTACTTTGGATGGACAAGATTCACTTCTCACCGCTTGGAATGGATGAAGCCCCATGGTTATGACTGGAACTGCCAATCCCAACTGGGCCTGGCGTGGATTTCGTTCATCCACAGCATGGCTCGAGGGCTCCGAATGGTCCTTGACGCCCCCTATCTTTTGATATGCTCACTCCCTGCGTTCATGGACTCTAGTCACTTTTTTGTGTTTGGAACACTTCAGGCGTTTCCCCCAACAACCATCATGGATCGACGGTCAGCGTTCGCCAGGCTCGGACTTCCCGAGCGGCGCAGTGTGCTTCGCCGTGGACGGGCGCAAGCTACAGGTCGGGACACCGGGTCCCTATGACCCCGATCCGCCCACGTGAAGACCTGTCCCATGTGTGACATGCACAAATGGGTGCCTTTTTTTGGGTGGAGCCCTACATGATAGTTGTTCGCTTGGTTTCGCCTCATAACCAACCTAAAAATCGTAGGGGTAGTCAGGGATCCTTTACTAATTAGGAATTTAGACAAGCATGCTAAGGGTGGATATATATATATATATATATGTGCACGCACATGTTGATTGAAACAATAGAAAAAAAAATAAGAAACAACGTATCTTGGTGATTTTCAGTCAACAAAAGCATGGACCAAAACTTGAAAAACAATTTTTGATTTGAGTGAGGCGCCAATCACACTTGCAAAAAATCAGATGAAACCATCGTTGAGTTTGGTGTAGCCTTTGTTGTTTAATTGCCAAATCCTGTCGGTTTGGGATCCTTTCTCGGTTTTGCTAGTGGACTTGTATCGGCTTTGGGCCCGAAGACCAGTCTCTAGTGGCAATGGTGTTTGCTATTCACGAGGGGGCTCCCGCCACCTGATACCACGCTTCAAGTTTTGTGGACAGCCTCCCAGCCATAGATGCTCTTTGGATTTTCTTCACCAAGGGTTTTGGGTAGTGGTCTTTAACATTCGGATTTGAATTGGATTTGGGTTCAGTGTCTGAGCCATTTTCGCCCGTACCTTATTTTCTGGGACTCTTGGAAGCCAAGAGCATCAGTTGTGATTCGACGTCGCAAGATATACATTCGCTACGTTTGAGCCAGTGAGCTTGCTGTTGAAGGAATCGACTTCTCTTCTGGCAGTGCGAGTGGAAAGCATGGACGAGGCATAGAGCTGATTGGCTTTTGGGATGACGGAAAGCTTCAATTCAACTCTCCTCTCGGAACAGTGTTTGTCTTGCACCGCACCTGTCCACCATTTGGTGGAGAAAAGTAGGGTTCAAAGTGGTCACAACTGAGCCAACCCAAAATTGAGTTGCTCAAAAAAACCAACTCATTGAAAGTCATCTACTAAGGATCCAAGTTCCTGAGGAGGTGCTTAGACCTTCTGGGATCTCAAAATACGTGGGACCACAATAAATAAATTTTCCTTTTGAAAGAGCAGCAAGAAAATGTCAAGCAGGAGTCTACAGCCAACCACCAACATATCTTTTCCTTCGTCCCCTTTTTCTCGGCTTCTCAATTGATTTTCAACTCTGCGCCCCTTTGCTTTCTCCGTTTTGGTTGCTCGGTTCCCTTGCCAACTCGAGTTGCCGCGAGGCGGACCGGTTCCTCCTCGCGGCGCGGTCCGAGTACTTCGAGCGGATGCTGCGCACTGGCATGGCGGAGGCGTCGGGTTGATTGAGTTCTGGATTGTTTCAAAAAATGGCTTTGTTGTCCTCTGGGTTTCCCACGAAAAAAAGAAACAAAAAAAGGTAGCCAGCCCTGTCCAAAAGAGGCACACAACATGGATTTCAGGTATTGGTTGGTATTTACGGGGGAAACCGACAGGACGCCACTGAACGCCATTTTAGGAAATGGACCAATCCCGATTTGTTTTGAGAAACAACCAATTGCTTACAAGGCCAAAAGGAGGTTTTGCTTCAGCTCACGTTGGTCCCATCCCGTGGAAATCCTGGCAACATATCCTATCGAAAGGTCCAAACGCCTAACACCGCTTCCCCTTGCCATTTTTCTTTTTATTTGGGTCTTACCTGGTTAAGTGGGGGTATGGTAAAGCCTAGTATAACCCCCCAGCCTTATAACCCCACTTAAACCTATGAGCCTTGGGGCGCCAACTTTGGGCGTCAGCGGGCCTTCGGGCGGAACCGGAACTCGGCCCCTTACTAATCATAGTGGCAGACAGAAAGGCTTGATCCGATTTTGGCCAACCCACTCAACAAGTGAGCTAGGTGAACTCACTAATGTTGGACCTGCTTTAATGTGAACCGCCCCCTGAACAATGGAACCAGTCAGCAAGACCCTCTTTAGACAATCTCCTGGGGGGTGGAACTTGGACTTGCCAGTACTTACTTTAGTATTTCCAATACTTGGTATTGCCAAGGCTGACTGTCAAATTCCCAGTACTTGCTTTAGCATTGCCAATTCTACTTTAGTATTGCCAAGGCTGACTCTCAGACTCCCTGTGCTTACTTTAGTATTGCCAATTCTACTTTAGTATTGCCAAGGCCTTTTTTCAGCAACCCCGAAAAAAATGACACGAAAGAAGACCCCAAAACAGTCACATTAAAGAGGACAGGGCCTTTTGTGGGCAACCCCCTTTGTGCGATTTTTGCCCTGACTTTTTTGTAAAGAAGCGATCTTAAATTTGATGGTTTGGGAACCACTTCAAAAAAGGAATTCCTAATGGTTGCCCGGATTTGGTGCCCGTGGTTTGTCCGACTTTTTTGGCCAGTGGTTTTTGGCCCGGACGTGTTTGTTGTTTCCCCCGGCAAATAAAAACTTGTCACAATTGAGGAGCCCAAAACAGTCAGGATCCTGAATTAAGGAAACAACTTGACACAATAGAGGCCTCTGACATTAAAGCTGGTGCGACATTAAATGTCCACACAACAAGCCAAAAATGTGTGTGTGTGTGTGTGTGTGTTGTTGTGCTTGCTTGCTTGCTTGCTTGCTTGCTTGCTTGCTTGCTTGCTTGCTTGCTTGCTTGCTTGCTTGCTTGCTTGCTTGCTTGCTTGCTTGCTTGCTTGCTTTGCTTGCTTGCTTGCTTGCTTGCTTGCTTGCTTGCTTGCTTGCTTGCTTGCTTGCTTGCTTGCTTGCTTGCTTGCTTGCTTGCTTGCTTGCTTGCTTGCTTGCTTGCTTGCTAGTTTGTGGTTTGTGTGTTTGCTTCTGTGTGTTTGTTTTTTTTGTTCGTGTGTCTGTGTTTCTTGGTTTGATTGTTTGCTTGGTTGTTTGTTTGTTTGTTCTTTTGTTCGTTCATTTTGTACGTATTATGTACGTTTGTTTGTTTGCTTGCTTGTCTGCTTGTGTGCTTGGTTTTTGTTTGTTGCGTTTTTGTTGAGGGTACCCTTCTTTTGCCTTGGTTTAGAGGGAAGCCATAAGGGAAAGATATGTCTTCTTCTTTTTCGCCAATGACACGTGCCGGATGCGAACGAGTGAGTCAGCGTGGCACGCGGCCTCGCATTTTGGCTTCCGGATCGTTTCCAGGGAGCTGCCACGGAGGTTGCCATCCCCAGGCGCGAGCTGGGGCCCTTGAAGTCCATTCCGAGCCCCTGGGTTCCCCGCTAGAGTCCACCAGGTCCCTTGAAATTGCAAAAGCAACAGGCACTGGACCTGGTTTGAGAGTTGAAACAAGACAAGCACGTCTGAAACGCCTGCAATTGCACCCTGCTAAGTAGTTTGAGTACACGTGTCAAGGGATGTTTTGGAGCAACCACTCGTGTGACGTGCGTATTCCAGACTCGAGAAAGCCCGCCGTTGCTTTTTGGGAAGTATGCCTAGGTCCGCCATAGCGACATCCTCGAAATTGCCCCCAAATTGTAGTTTACACGCTGAAGTTCAACAGTAGTTTTGGGAACCCCGCCAAATGAAGCTACTTTATCGGACTGTTGACCTCAAGCTTTCAGCGAACAGCCGGGAAGGATCCCTGATGCCTTCTGTCCCGTAAATCTCAGCCTGTATAGTTTAGGGTTCCCTTGGTTCGGGGTGGGAAGGGGTTTATTCCCATGCCAGAAAGCTTTTTAGGCGAGGGTGGGGCTGGGGGTGGTGGGCGTTTGCGACCCTGACGAAGGCGTCCCGTAGTTACTTGACTAATGTGCCAGGGATGGATTGATAGCATCATGCCGCTTCAATGCCCGGCAGCAGCCACCATGGGACCCGCCGGACATTGCGCAGTTGGTCAAAGAAGTCTCTATAGATACATTTCAGTTTGGCGTTTTTTGCCGCCCATGAGCGGGCATTTCACGCAGCGGTCTCCTATGGTGTGTAGAATTAATTGTTTTCGTTTCATTGCCGTCAGTCCGAGATTCGGAACTGGCCTCAGACCTTGCTGGCAGAACTTGAAATCATCCCTAGGTCCCACGTCAGTAGAGGCCCGCTCCACAATACGTAGCTGTTGGTCACCGATTTTGTTTCGTTGATGACCCCATGGGCGTTGATTTTGCCCGTCAGATTGCTTGCCGGCATTGGCCATTTCCAATGGAGCAGATGTTTTCAACTCGGTTACATGACAGCAAGATGTGTTTGTGTCCTCGCATGCTTCACTTGCTTCCCAGAAAATGAACCCCAAAGAAAACAAGGTAGATGTCCAGCCCGAAGCCCGAAGCAGATCTTTGCTCCACTTTCCTGGTACGCAAAAATAATACACACGCTTTCTGGGGGTTTTTCAGCCTTGGTTGGAAGGGGCTTGTTTGGTTGTGTGAGTTTCAACTTTTTGGGTATGTCCCACTAAAGGCATTTGGGTCACTGCCGGGGAACTGGTGGACCTCTTCCGCATTTGAAATTGGTCCAACTTACCTTTTCAACACAAGAGCCGGCCTCCGGCTGAAAGTGCAGAGGCCAAGGGTCCAACACTTTTCCATACATCTCTGAAATGGACATACCCTCCTTCCCGGATTCATCAGCCCCCTAGTTGATTGATAGGTGTCCCCTCTTAGAGGGGATTCATCACTTGAGGGGCCCCCACCCTCTATCGAGAGAACCGATTGATTCTTCCCGGATCAACATTTGCCAAATCACGCAGGGCTTCAGCCCCCGCCTTTGAAGCGGTGCTGCGGTTCATCTACTCGGCGGGTCAAGCTGGCCAGGCGAGTACAAAACGGACAACTCTGGAAACGCGGATAACGCGGGGTTTGGGAGTGGGGTCAAAAATTGGGCAATCGGGCAGTTCACAACATGACGTTTACAGGTCCTTTTGGTTTCCATTAGAATCAACCTGAAAGGTAATTTCCCTGAAGACTGCACAAACCCGTTTTGGGCCAACTTCGCTCAGTAGAGACCTCCAATCATTGCATCTTTGGGTGCAAGGGAAGGGCCTAGTGCAACATGTGAACAAATTCTGCGTGGCAGTTGCCAAGTGTAGCGACTGACGTGTATTCTCGCAAAGTTTGATATGTGAAAGACGAGGCGTGTGGGAATTCGGGACTGGTTTTTTCAGCCGGCGTGCTTTCGCTTCGCAGACTCTTTTCGAACAAGCCGATCCTCTTGAAGCGCGGAGCCGAGCAGCGACGGCGGGTTCCTATGGCACTCGAATCATGCATCTATGTCTCACTTAAACATAGACGGATCCTATTGCTAACCTGTGAATTCCATCTATGTTTGACTAAACCTACTCAAACCACTCCGACGTTCTTGCCCTGCGGGTGCGGTTTTGGAAACGCGCGTGCAAATGGGTAGCCCTGGGGTTCCTACTACCACTCCCGCACGTTTCAAAGGAATTTCAGAAAGGAAATTCAGGTAAAGCTCATCAACTCCCAAAAGAGGTTTTGAGGCGACGGGTGAGGACACACCCGTTCCAGGCAGCTCAAAATCTTGCGTGTCACTGAGGACTCCAATGCGCATTCAGTTGCTGGAAGCGACTAGGGGTACTCAAGACTTGAGAAGAGCAACTTGTTCCGGCGGGGAAAGGTCTTCTTTTGTCATTTGCGTTTGTTTGTGTCTTGAGTTTAACTAACTACTCGTTTTCCATGCATAACGGGATACCTTCTCGAGCAAAGGCCCATTTGGCGTAGATGCCCCCAAAGAGATGCTGGGAAGCCGCCATGTCGGCTGGCTTTTTTTGAGGGTGCCATGTGTGAGGTTGGTGCAACTGGAAATTAAAGGGAAGCACCCATTTGCGGGGTGCGCTTATTTGGACCCCAGGTAAAACCCTAGAGATATATTGGTTGCCTACTCTAGTCTAGAGAGACCTAGATCAGGGGTTAGCGTCCCCGACCCCTAGTGTTCGTCGTAGCCTGCGAGTCTCCGCCCAAACCGAGGTGCTGCACCTCTCTGTGGAGTTTTTACTGGAGGATGGGATAGAGGTGGCATGGATGGTACCCTTTGGCGTTAAAGGACGGCACAAATATCAAAAACAAACCAGGTTCACCAAAGAGTCTCCAAGCACAGGAATGGCCCTTGGCACGCCTGGTTACCTTGGGTTGGCAGAGATTGTCATCAACCCTATTGAGTACGGAAGCCATAGCCATTTTCCATAGGGTTGACCAGCGCACGGGTATGAGTCCCAAACGGGTGTCTCATTTGTATGGCCACGAGTGCCATCCGAGCCCCTGACTGCCTGGCCTGTGCAAGCGGGGAGTTTGTCAGAGTTTCCAATGGGATACGGGACCAACGAAGGTGTCCCTTTGTAGTTCTCGTTCTTGCAGCTTTGAGCTTGCCATGGGCTTGCTGAACATCCGCAGGATCTCACCCGCTTGTGCGAGTGGAAGCTCATGCAGGGGCTGACGCTGGACTGGGCTCACGCGATTCGGAATCAAAAAGCTAGTACTTCCGGTTACCACTGTAGTAGGTAACCAGGTAGTCTAGGTTTTACATCATAGTTTCGCCTGGTTATCGGCCAGCATGGTATCTGGAAGCACTGAGTGGGTTGTTCAAAATTGATCCTTAATCCTTTTGTCTATTTGATGGCGAGCTCACAGATAGTATCTCGCCCATGATGTAAGTAGATCCTTATGCCAGATGGTAGCAGTTTCTCTTCTTGCATTGGTTTTCTGTGAAGGACGGATTAGGATTCGGGAGCCCGAAGTGGAAGCGTGTTGAGGGGTTCTCAAACCTTATTTTGGGGGTGATCCTTTAGCCCGCGAATCCACCGTTGGCATTGTCTCAGCCGGCAGGCGCGGATTTCTAGCCGGATATGTGCCACGGGATGTGGCTCATGACGCAAGGGCTGGTTCCTGTAACCAAACCTTGTCAATACATGTCCTGTTTTGGAACTTCCAAAAGCGGGCAGTTTCAATGGACACAAGCAAATTGCAACTTTCGGTGGGGAAATCCAATGACGCCTGCGAAAACAACAAGTGGGTGTGTTTATTTTTTAGGGCAGTCTCTTTGGGGAGGGAAACCAAATGGAAATGGGGCACCATTGTTAGAGTTACCCCTTTAAAGACAAACCCAACGGGGAGACCTTATGGGATACCAAAAGGAAGTCGATCATTGGAGTGCCATTTGGGACACCCCTAATTAATTTCAGCCACCCAAACCAATCCGCATGAAATTGATGGGTTGGTTGCTTCCGCCATGGATCTGCTGCTGTTGAGGCTTTTAGGTGGAGAATTTGAACATTTGCCAAGATGTTGTTTGTGTTTCTTTGTCGTGGCCAGAGATAGAAAGCAAGTCCAAATCTGAGCTAGTGGGCGATTGGTATGGGCCTTTGGCCTTTGGGAAAGCAACTTTGGAACGGAGTGGGATGAGATGGATGGAACGGAACGGAACGGAACGCAATGGAATGGAATGGAATGGTGGATTAGTTGGGCGGATGGACGGACGAATGGATGGACGGCACAGCCTGCTTCACAGGAGGTCCTTCCATTTGCCGTGTTGTTCATTTTGATTTGTTGGCGTTGAAATTTGTGACTTGTATCTTTTCCATTGCATGATTGTCCATTCCGCCTCCATCTATCATCTGTCCCTTCCTACCTGAAATGTCTATGAATGAGTGAGCTATAGGTGGGAGAAGGAAATGGAAGCATAGCGATTGTTTTCCTTGGGACTCACTCACTGGGAGCCGGGGGGTAGCATGTCCCAACATCCACTAGCTGCGGGCCACAAGTTTCGTGTCTGGGCCATTGCACCTCGTGCCCAAGGGAAAGACATACACGCCAGCTGTATGCAGCAAAAAAGGGAACACTGAGTTTACTGTGGCACGTATGGGCCACTTGTTTTTCTCTAGACTGAGCTTCCAAGTAGGTCCTTGGGCCGTTGCTTCCCGATAAAAAGTCATCCAGATCTATCAACCCACATTGGCTTCTTTGTGATTTATCGGGTGTTTGTGCAATTCACAACGACAGCGGTACCTCTCATTTGGTTTGGAGAGCTGTCATTTGTCGTCACAATGGTAACAGCCCTATAGTGAAAGCGAGGCGAGCTTTGGAAAGGGAGCCCCCTGTCTTCCCACATTGAAATCGATGGGATAATGAAGGAGCGAAACAACTGGGAGACAGGAATCCTCGCCAGGCAGTATATGTACTACATTATTTGGATACCTCTCTTCTTTTGAATCACTGGCACGCACGTCCAACAAGTATTATTTGTTGGGCACCCAAAACGAATGTGGAAGGGCTTCCGAAGTGGGCGTCCCTCAGCTTCGCAAGCGTGAGGACAATGTGCTGGTCACCTTTGGCTCTGTGGTTTCAGTGAGAAGTCAGGCGAACGCTTCGATTCGCCGATTCGCAGAGTCCTGCGCGGACCGGGGACTTGCCCGGAAATCGCCACTTCAACATGGCAAGCAAGATGATATGAGAGGACAATAACGACGCGCATTGTTTTTTTTGTTCATGACTTAAGTTTGAATTTGTTTTGCAGCACTCCACTACCCCATTCCAATGACTCAGGCCCTTATAGCACCCTCCCACTATGGTTCTCTGAACGGCTATTTCGCCTATGCACCAGGCCATGTTTGTTCAAGGAAGGAACATGATGTTTGTCGGCATCAGCCCATTGAGCATAGACACGGATAGCTGCCCAGGGAGCTTGATTAGGGCACCCCCAGCCTCTTTCCCCTCGGAAACATTTCTAAGAACCCCTTCTACCAGGTTCTTTTCCTGGTTTGAGGGGGGCCTGGTGTGTTTTGTCTTGAGGCAGCACCCTTTTGGGGAAACCGAAGCCCTATGTTCGGGGTTCCGCCATGTTTGAGCAGCATCGAACGCCCTCATGGGCCATTTCAGTAGATTCGGACAGATGTTTTTTTTTTTTTTGTTTAATGTTATCCTATTTCATGGGGCTCTTAGCGAGGCCTACATCATGAGCCTTTTATTGGCTTATGATTTTAAATGGGAGCACCCTCAAGAATGGCTGTTGGGCAAAAATCGTCCCATGTAAATGATGTCTACCAAAGGGTCCAACCGATTTAAATCCACGCTGCAAGGGGCCTGCATACTTGAAATGGGGTAAGATGATGTCTATATGGCCCCTACGTTCTCTAGGCGTAAGGGTCCTTTCAGCGACCATATTGAGGGGTTCTCTACCTTACTTTTGGGTCTGGCGGTTGCCCTTTTAACCACCATTGGACCATGGCCCAGTTTGAGACGTAAAGTCGGGTGCTAAATTGATAGCTCCACATGTTGTTCGCCCAAAAAAGGGCAACGCCTTTATATAGGGGATGAGCAATTTTATGTGATTTTACGAGAACCCCTATCATTTTCGTTTTTGGTTCCCCGTAAACCACCTCATTGGGCGGATTAGGGGGTCGGGGCTGGCCAGGTGCCGGCGCTGGTCAAGGCCTGTGTGGAAAGGACCGAGAAGCAAGCCACAAGTTGGGTGGCTTCTGACATGTTTCTGACAGGATGGCATCCACCGAACACATTTTGGGGATCCCCTAAAATTTCCGAACAACATTTAACCTCGTCCAACAATTATTCGAATGTGAACAAGAGGATTTGTTGGAGGGACAAGGGGCAAACAAAGCAGTGGAAGTGAACAGCGGTTCCCAAAAAAGTCCAAAGCCCGATCGGCTTTCATTGGGGTTGGTTCCAAGGGAGCCAAGCGTGGTGTCTAGATTTGCCTGAAAGGAGCTGCCTGGCCTACAAGGAGTTGGTGAACAGTAGGTAAACTTTTGGTGTCAAAAGTATTTCATGGGTATGTAATATGTATATATAGACGAAATATAGGAAGCATTATGCAAATGGTGTTTTTGTTTGTTTTTCCCGTACCCCAGAGTGGGACCAAGAAATGTTAGGGGGCGGCCCCCTTGGCTGGTTGCTGTGGAGGGCAACGAAAGGGGCAGGGGGCCCCATCAAAACTATATATGCCACGGCCAAAACCGCACCTCAGTTGAAGTTGGTACTGTGGATGGACAATATCTACTTTGCACCAACTGGGATGCATGAATCCCTATGAACGCTGAGATACACCACCTACCAGCCGGAGCACGTATGAGCCAGAATCAACACCGCCAGAATCAAAACCTGGGTGGAGAAACATTAGGATACGGCCCGATTGGGGCGGATGTCCGCCTTTTCGATTCTTTACACAGTTTTGGGTAAACCTCCGCCAGGGATTGATGTTTCAGATGAGACCGTGTGCGCAAGTCCCCTTTCGGCTTCTGGCGATGTTGTCGGGTTCCTTGCCCGTCCATAGTGCGTCGCAAAGCTAGGAACACCAACGTTGCGGTTTTTCGGTTTCCCCTTTAAACCAACCCCAAACAGGGTACCCTCAGAAAAGACACCCCCTTAATTATCCCGCATTTTTGATATCCATATGCAACCTGAAGTGTCGCCAAGGCCCCTTGCGGGCCTCGTCTACTCCATTTTCCTGTGCAAAGGGAGTTCAGGGACAGTTGCGAATGTGCTTGGCGGCCATGCGCCAGCCTTGGACAGCAACAGCAGTTGGGCTACCTGAAGTCATTTAAATTTGGTTCTTGAATGATTCAGTGACACCTCCATTTTTGACACTCAGCCTGTTTGTCATGTTTTTTTTGGTTGCGAGTGTGCGGTTTGCGTTCTACATTGCTTATTGTGCAATCAAGGTTTTAATTTCTGATTTCCCTGACAACACGTATTGTTCATTGTTTACTATGCGTACCATATTTAGAGGGTTGCCTTATACACATGTCACTCATTTTTTGCGTGGCGGGCAATTTTGCCGATGGAAGTTCAGTTGTGTGCATCCAAGCGGACATGTGGATGTCAGGATGCAAGGGCAGATGAGGGATGCGCGGCCCTCGGATTTCTCGCATATAATCATGTCTTTTCTTGAGTTGGTATCCCTGCTTTTGTTGTTGTAAAGGGAAACCAACATCTGGGGCATATCTGGGGCATCCCCTAAACCGCACTGACTGGGGATCCATCCCCAACGTGTGAAAGAACAGTCCAGGAGGTATGAAATCAGATGAACTTGGTTGCCTTGATTTGTTGCCCCTCCAACGACAGATAGTTGGGGCACGCTTCTCCCTTGTCAAAACCAAGAGACAACAAATTGTTTCGAATGCCCAATAGATTTATACTACTGAGGGAGTCAATATATGGGCGAAACAATGTCTAATAGTTTATTCTTCTATTCCATGACACGGGTTTTACAGGACCCCACAACGCCATGATATTCATTTCGGCCTTCATGCCGGTTTGGGCGGATCTGCTTGTTGAGAGGTGGTTGGAAGCGAGTCCTTTACGGAGCTCTGTCGCAGTGCCATCCTCAGATCGGCAGTCGAGACGCATGTGGACTTCTCAGCATTTTAGGAGACCACTATGCTGAAAACCCCTCATGCAGGGGATTCTGGGCTTTGAAGTTTTGCAGGTCCTACTCAGAGCCCGCATCTCTTCAGGCCGTGCGGATGTGATCAACATTCTGACTAGGCGGTTTGGGGGCTTTTTAGCGTATAACATGTTGGGCTCGCGCCCTGGCAGGTAGTGCTGCTCCTTGTCTTAACGCCTCCCCTTGACCTTCGCCGTGGCTCTCGTTTTGCTCAGGTCAGACCGCGGTGCGGGAGCTGCTGCTCTCCTTCGATGAGTCACTCGCATGGGCAGACAGGTTCGGACACGCCTTCTAAGAACTCTTGCTGACGAGCTTATGTCCCTTCCCTTTTGCAAGTTTGGTCAATGGCTCCATTGCTCCATGGTGCGTGTCAGTGCGGATGCCCTTTTGGGGTTTGAAAGGGAAACCTGCGATTTGTCCGCCAATTTTGGCACATGGCCCTCTCGCTACGAGACCAGCACTAAGGCCACTGGCAAAGAGACGCCGTTCGCTGTCCGGAGCCAGACCTGGCGGATAGGAAGACAGCTGGCGGAATTCAGATGCGCAGAGCAAAATGTGCCATGATGGTTTTGGCATGTTTGGTCAATGAAAGAAATAAAAGGATGATTTAGGTGAGGCAAATTGACTATTAACTTTGAATATTCATGTACTATCAAACAAATAGGGGAACACGACGTTAAACGGATGGACGGCATCCAGCGCCTAACCGGCATGATGTTACGTTTATCGATGGTAATCGATACTAATCCAAATTCTATATGTGATAGTTTGAAAATGTTGATAATATATATGAGAGTCGTCCGAAAGGTCGTTGAATTGAGCTATGAAGGGGACGACCTTTTGGTCTTAGCGTTGACCTTCGCGAAAGTTCTGCGAAGGGGGTCGCGAAAGTTTTTGTTTTTTCCGCGAAAGTTTTGTGTGGCTTGCTAACAGGAAGCTGGAGTGATGAACCATGTGTATCTACCGGCAGTGCGCGAAAGTTTTTGTTTTTTCCGCGAAAGTTTTGTGTGGCTTGCTAACAGGAAGCTGGAGTGATGAACTATGTGTATCTACCGGCAGTGCGCGCAGAATGCCCGCAGAGTAAAGTTGGTCGGAGAATGCGCAGCCTAAGATCCGCGAAAGTTTCGCGAAAGTCGACGGACCTCCCCGCCAGTTTCCGGACATGAGGCCAACGGGTCCTCTCATGCACAGCTTGCGGCTTGTGAGCTGGAGCTGCGGAAGCGCGCTTCGCGTGCTACTTTGGAACTGAAAGGTCGCGACTTTCGAGCTGGGACTGCGGAAGTTCACTTTGTGTACTACTTTCGTATTGAAAAGCTCTGGCTTTCGAGGCTGAGGAAGTTTAGTTCGTGTACTACTTTCGCATTCAAGCACTGAAGAGCTGCGACTTTCGCGCTGGGGCTGCGAAAGTGTACTTCGTGTATTACTTTTGTGATGAATGTTCTGAAAACAGCTCCGCGAAAGTTCCGCGAGGGGGTCCGCGAAAGTTATTTTTTTTCTCGCGAAGATGGCGGTTTCCGGAACAAGGAATTTCAGACAACTGTCATATATATAAATACATCTTATATTAATCTAACTAGTTAATATTAATATCTAATTTATTGAATAAATATAATGTATACAGATATATATATATATATATATACATGACATATTAGTTGAATAAATATTGTTTAATGGAAAGGTAATATATTAGAGTGAATGATATGTATAATTATGTGTTTAATTGTTGTATTGGAATGATTTGTAAATTGAAGTTTGGAAGTTGATTTAATTAATAAATATTATTGATAATGTTATTGAAATTATTATGAATTAGATATTATATTTTATATTTTTTGACTATTGATGATTTTATTGTATATTATATGGTCACAAGATTTGACATTTTACATAAAGGAATCAAGGCCAAAGAATCAGTGCCCGGATTATGTCTTTCTCGCACTTGTTTAGACCTTATTCCGTCTCAACAACATAGACATCCAGTCTCTTGCCACGAGGCCGCGTTGGCATACTTTCCAGCACTACGTTGCCTAGTTGGAGGGCTTCAGGATTGCAACCCGCGTATTCGTGGCCAAGCACTATGGCTTACTCTCGCAATGACCTTCTTACTGGCAAGTCTCGCCCGCAATGCCCCCGAAAATGCAGCACATCTCCTGGAATGTAGACATGGGTAGCTCTGTCTTGACACGCGCGCCAAGCATGCCTCCAACCTAGAGACTGCGTGGCCGCATCCGAACAATAGCGGCTGAGCAAAAGCGCTGCAGGATCCAACCACCGAGGGTGCGCACGTTGATCATGGAAGGCATGCTAAACGACACGGCGAGACATAGTCACAGCCAAGCAACATCTGTTTGCTTGTGACGAAAGCAGCCGTAGCATCGCGGACTTTTTTGCCCTCCAGGCACACGAGGCGCCAAAAAGAGGTTCGAAGACTTGGCCTCTTCCCCGGCGCAGCTGGCAAGATGGCGGGTTGTCAAGTTAGCTCCGCGCCATTTGTCATTCTCGCACTTTGAACATGGCTTTGCAACATGATCGGCGTATTGTAGGCTGTCGCCGCGATGGCCAGGTTTGGGCAAGCGGCGGTGGTAGGCCGGCAGCAGTGCCCGCGTTGGCTGCGCGAAGAGCCTCACCATAGGCGCGGATCGGTCTCGGTTGGCAAGGAAGAAACAAGGCAAAAAGCCACCGTACTGTGTCGCCTAGGTGCACATGCAAACTGCTGTCTGTGGGGTGGGATAAGGCATATGGATCTGGAGGAAGGCCGCGCATTGAACACAACAGGCGGGCGCGCGTGTGTAAACGTGTGTCAGAAGTGGGGGTTGGGCGAGAGGGGGCGGGCGAGAGCAAAGCCACCTATACTCGTGCGGGCGCTCAGCCAACCCACGAGAAACTGGATCTTCCGCACCAAGTTTGACTTGAATCACTAACCTGTCTGTGCTCCCATACCCATCACAAGTAGAGGAATGCCCTTGTGCAAGTGAACCCGTAACTCAGCAGTGACCGCTGTCTTGTCTTCGACTTCGCTGGCCAAGCTTGCGCAGCCAAAGTCGTGGACTTTCCGTTTGCAAGCAGTGGCCTGCCACTTGTGTCCAGCTTGAGGCTGCTCGCAAGGGAGGGTCCGGTCAAGTTGGTGGTGCCGTAGTGCGCAGATCTCTGACATGTCTTTGAAGCAGGCAGACGGAAAGCCTGGGTTAACCACGTGGGGGGGAGGTTATCACAGCAACCTGCGATTTTTTTGGTCAAACGGGGGTCCCTTCTGGGGGACCCCCCAAAAACCAGTGTAGGGCCTACACTGGTTTTTTGGGGGTCCCCTGAAAGGGACCCCCGCATGATTTCAGGTTGCAAAAGACGCGCAGATCAGCTGTAGGTCCCTGGCAGGGGACCCCCAAAAAACCAGTGTAGGCCCTACACTGGTTTTTTGGGGGTCCCTTGCAAGAGACCCTCGATTGTCCGAAAAAAATCAAAGGAGCCGCCCGGTGGCCGCGCCTGCGCTGTGGCCGTTTCTCTTTGCGCCGGTTGTTTCTGAGAACCAGAGGTGCGTTGCCAATCGCAACATGGAACAAAACGGAGAGTGGCGCGAGCGTCTCGCATTTTCTGCTGCAACTCCGCGGAGCGAAGGCGCTACACGCCTCCGATGTGGCCGCGCACCGGCGGACCAGGCAAAACTTTTCGTAATCGTGCAACACAGTTTGAATTGACTGGGGTTCACGCCCAAGCTGGTCTGCAAGTGAATGTATCTCCGGCTGCGCTGCCCTTTGCCTCACTTGTGACACAAAATCCTACAAGCAAACAAACCACACTCGCTGCGCTTGTACGACGTTAAAGCAAGCAGGGGGTCATGTCTGCAGAATGAGCCGGAAGCTCTAAAGTAACGAAATCACTGACACTTGAGAAATGGCCTGCGCCGTTTCCGAAAACATCGAAGGAGAATCACAGGAAAACAGCGTCCAAATCACAACTTCCCTGAAAGCAAAGCGAGCTGCGTCGCAATTGCCACGGGACACCTACGGTCCCCCTATTCTGCCAGGTCCTGCTTGACATCACTTCACGGGAAACACTTGTTGCGAAGTGACATTTCGTTTGGCAAGGCTTTTCACCTTGTTGGATGCTAAGGTGGAGGCAGGCGCCCGGCGCCTCGGGCGCCCGGCGCCCCGGGCACCCGGCCGGCGCCCCAGGCGCCCGCCGCCCCGGGGCACCCCCCGCCCGGGGCGCCCGGCGCCCGGCGCCCCAGAGCCGGCAGAACTCAAAAGAATTCTGCTCTGTTCAAATGGCTTTGAAACCCACGCTTGTGTCTGGGACGCCAGGCAAAGGTCCACGTGACCTGACAAGCGTGCAAATGCAGGCACGACCCCCCGCTTTTGAAAGATTCTCGGGTGTCTCCAAGCGTAGTTCTGCATCTACGTGGAAGCCAAGACTCAGCTTTGCGCTGTCAGCCAGAACAAGCCTCAACTCCCGCCGCCTCCTGACTTCGTCCTGGTGACAAACTCCAGAGCGACACAAACAACTCAATGTCTTTGCCTCTCGGCATTCCGGGACTGCCTCGTCGCACAAGCAGCAATTAATGCTGGCCCTTCCTGCAACTGATTGACGCTGAGCGGGTGGAGTTACTGACTTGTTTGAAGACGCAGGTGAGAGCAAATTCGTTTAAATCAGTGCAAGCAAGGCACGTCATGGAAATACGTTCTGCCAGATGAATCTGGGATGTGCGCGGCAAAAAAAAGGGATCTGGCCCGCCGTTGATGGTTGGCCTTGTTTAATGTCAAACCTTGTGACCTTATTGTTGCGTTTATAGACAAGAATAACAAATATTCTTGGTTTAAAAATAATGAATGAGGAATTGTAATATATATATAATTATTTTTGAATAAGTGATATATAAATAATATTTAAATTATTTAAATTTAATATTATATTATTTTGATTTTTATATATTTAAAATAAATTTTATTTTAATATGTTGAATAAAAATAAAATATATTTAAAAAAATGATTTTTTATTTTGATATGTAAATTATTATCTTATGGGTGTTTTTATTATTTGGATTATATATATATATATATTTATTTATTTTATTATATATGGTTTTATGATTATATGGTTTATAAAACATATATTTGTATTTTAGATATAATACTAAATAATATTTCTATTTTAATGGGAAATATATATGATTTAGGTGGGGGGGATTATTATTTTGAAAAGGAATAAATCGAGAACTATTATGAAATATATTATAAGAATCGAATAATTAATATAGATTTATTAAAATGAATATAATTTATATTTATATATATTTT